CAATGTGGACCTTAAAAGACATCATACCAGCTCAGCCCTAGCACCAATTCAAATTTTCTCGTTGACATGGACAAGCGCGATATCATGGCAAGCACAATCCCCTATTTTACATCGCCAAGAGAGACACCGGGACCGCCGCGAGGAGGCCGCGTTGGCCGGTGCCAAGTCGAGCACCGTCTCTCTTGCACGATGCCGATGCGAATGTTGGTGACCGCCCCTTTGGTTGGCCATTAAGCCTGCCGCAGGAGGAATGCTTGAGGAAACAGTCTCGTTTTAATTCTTTTTACATGCATCCACTAATTAAACCAATGCCTTGGTAATGCCTTCCCCTGGAGCATGCTCCCCCACGATACACGCAGGATTTAGAAAGTCCTAAGTCATGCCAAGTCGAGCAAATCCCTTTCTTTCGGGGCGACCCGTTGTTTGGCCGTTGCACTTTCTCCGGGGAAACGACGGAAACGAACATGAACCGACCGACGTCGTGATGGAAGGTCGACCTCGCGGTGGAAGCCACGGAGGAGTTGACTTCCGAACCGGACGAGAGTTCGACTCATCGTGTTCCGAAAAGAACGGACTTAGCTGGCCTCCCAAGGCTAGGTTTGGACAAATCCAAAAAATCCCTTCCCGATGGTCGAAAAGGCTCGACTTTTTGGAGAAAGTGCTGCCTGTGAAGCTCTTGCAAATGCTATAATGTTGATTTGTTTGCTTGCAGCACATGCCTCTGACTGACTTGGAGTTTGGGGGTGCGCAATGTCTCGTCTTTACTGCACTGAAAAGACCCTTTGCACCTGGCACTTGATTGGCAATCGGTGCAAAAAACGGCGACCTGTTACTCTTGTTTCGTTCTTAGATCAGTGCACCAGACCCAGCTACCAATGAGGTACTTCGCTGAGGGAGCATCAACAATGCAAACAGCAAAAGGGGCTCACTGAAGCTGCAGCAAGCACCCTCTGTTGTTCCACATATCTCCTGTCCGAAAGAATTTTGCACCTGGCAATCGCTTTGATAGCAGGTGCAAATGCTTCAGTTTGCTTCTTCGATGCAGTCCCGAAGCTCCTACGAGCTGCTTCACTTGGGCAGAGTCATTTAATCTTAGATGTTTAAAGAAATCATACCAGCCCAGCTCAGCCCTGGCGAGCACCATTTCAATTGTTCTTGATGACATGGACAAGAGCGATATCTTGCACTATGCCTGCGCTGCGAATGCTCTTGACCCGCTATCTCACTTTGAAGGTACTGGACCACGTAATTGTGGTGGCTTTGCACTTCCTAGCTTATAAACAAGTTCCTTCATTTGGGGGGTGTGACCCAATGCATTTCCACATCAGGCTGGCTATAAAAAGGCCGGTACCAACAGGATGGGCAAGAGTGGCGCAAGGAATAGAGAACGCTGCAGGCAAGAAGCAGCTGCAGCAGTCTCTTTCTATGCCTCTCGACCCGTCTGTATGGAGCTCATGCCTCCCATTTTTGACTGTGGATGCTGGCGAACGATACCAACACCACACTATTAGTGACATGCTCTAGCTCTAGTTTTGCTTAGCACACTCTCTGGTCTTGGATGTAATGACAAATGCCTCAAGCGGTGCAAATGCTGGAGACCTCTCACATCAGTTTGCTTCTTAGGTGCAACGACCCTGCAGGAGTTACGAGGCGTTTCGCTTGGGGAGCGTCATTCAAAAGACTTCATACCAGCCCTGCGACTGACCTACTCGGGCATTGGCGAGCACTTTCTCTTGATGACATGGACCAGCAACATCTTACATCATCTTACACCACAAACAGGCCATTTGGCCAGCGCTGCCAATGCAGGTGACCTGCCATCTCCCCTTTGGCACTTGGCCACCTAACCGTAGCTACAAGGTGTTTGGGGAGAGTCAATCAATATGGAATTCCAAAGACTTCAAACCAGTCCTGTGACCAAATCGAGTGAACTGGCGAGCACCGGCGACATGGACGGCGCAGCTCGAGCTGCGCCATGCTGTCGACGCGGCGGCCAGCACTTCAGCGACCGGCAAATCTCACCCAGCCTCAAAAGGACCTACAGATTTAAGTGATAGACTATAGGCTCCTCACTAGGGGAGTCTTTTTCATTCGCAGCTCCACATGGGGCGAAGGACACCTGGCCAAAAAGGCTGTGCGTGAACAGCAGGCGTTATAGCCTTTTGGTAGGTCAGAACTAGTAGAGTCGTCCCTTGCTATGTCTCTTGACAAGTTTGCGTGCAGCTCGTGCCTCCTCATGCCTTGTCACCTAGAGAGCTTGATGTCAGCACAGCCCATGAAATAGATTCATTCTTTGGCAAGCTAAGCAGGCTCTCTTTTGCGCACGGATGGGCAAGACTGGTGCAAGGAATAGAAGATGGCCGCAAGAAGCAGTTAGAGCTGTCGCTTTAGATGAGTAGCGTTTTTTGTGCAACTGTACCGCGTAGCCACCGCGAAGCCTACGTTTTACAGCTTTGCGTAGCCTTCGCGTAGGGGAACTACTATTACGGATGATCAGGCACCGCGTAGCCTACCTCTGCAGCAAAAGCGCGCTCGCGTAGCCTCTCGCGGAGTTCCCCTTACCGTGTAGCCAGCGCGTAGCCAGCCCGTAGCCCATACCCTTCAGCAAAAACGGCCTCGCGTAGCCTCCGCGAAGACGATTTCAAAAAAGCACACTGCTCAGATGTCTCTCAGGAAGTGTGTGCAGCTCACGCCACCCCGTGCGCTGCTGCCAAAGCTAGCTTGAAGCCGGCACGGCCCTCTGACTGACCTCCCCAGGCCTTGGCAAGCACCCTCTCTTGTTTGACATGGACAAGTGAAACATCTTGAACCCGCAACACGCATTGCGTGTCGCAAGCGGTGTGAATGCTGCTTTTGTCAGGCACCGAAATGAAGCATGCCCCAAACAAGCTATATAGCTGGCGCTATGCCCGCAGCATTGGCATTTGGGCTGTGAACCCTCCGTGCAGAATGTGTTCATTCCAAGTCCTTTCAGTATTCACACACTCAAAAGCCTGAAGAACCCCGATCAAGGGGCGGCAGGCGGCAGAAACTCTAGAGGCTTCCACTTTGAGATGTTCCGAGTGATGTGGTGCCGGCCAAGTCCTCGGATCGGGGCTATGGAGGACCTGGGGAGCTCAAAGTCTGGTTTCCGGTACATGAAAACTGACAAAAAGTCAAAAAAGGTTCCAGAATCTTCCTCAGGACACTGCGTATCAAAAGTCCCGAAAACAAAATGTGTCGTACTCATACGCACTCTACACACGGGATTCAGGGGTTCCGACTTTCAACTTTCCCTAATGAGATAGCTCACCTGCTCCTGAAAGAAATCGTCGGCCACCAGAAGGGCCATGGATTAAGGAATTTGATGGAGGCTGACAGCCTCCTATTGAATATATGGGTGGCCCAAACACCCTGGTATGCATCAACATACACAGTTTGCTCACTTGACCCAGCCCGCGTAAAGGGAGCGGGGCCCAGAAACTTTATACTGCAACGTTCGTTAATTGGAAACCTTTTGCCACCCAAAATGAACAAGGTCCAGACTTCATTCTCCAGCGTTTATGCGGAACTCTTCACCAAAACAAATTAGTGGAGCCCAGAAACTTCATTTTGCAAGGTTTCCTGACAAGACCTTCACCATCCCATAAGAAAGCGGATCTGATCCAAAGGGTGTGGACCAACTGAGTGATCCTGATCCATACCCTTTGGGTGAGGGTATGGATCGGGTGTGGGTATCGGTACTTGATACCCTTTGGATGAGGGTATGGATCGGGTGTGGGTTTCGGTACTTGATCCATGCCTTAAGTGTCTGGTCGTGGCCATTTTGTTGGAGGTGATGGTGAGAATGGCATCGCAACCTCCTCATCCAAGCAGCTTCGGCAGGATGTGTCCTTTCCAGGCGCAAAGCCAGTAGCTCCCCCAGCATTGCCAACGGTGAATTGAACAAAGGAGCGCTTGCTACGTCGGGCTCGTGCGGTAGCGACATGGCTACATGAACAGCAAGTGCTGCTAAACCCACGTAAAATCTAGCGGGGCCCAACACGAAATAACGAACCTCAAAGGCAATGTCTCAAGATTTCTAGGTGTTCATCTTTTCTGAAACTAACTGGCGTATAACGTCGCAAAAAAGACCTCGTTCCTGGCCGACAGAAAATGGTGGGTTCGGAACACGGTGGAGAGGAGCTGTGAGTTGACTCCCCAATTGAATACTTGCACTACTCTCCAAGTGCTTCGGAGCCAAACTTTCACCAAGCCTAAGCAGAATTCCAACTTCCTAGTCGTGACATGTTCTGACTGTCCAGACTCAACTTGGACGGGGCGAAGTCCAAAACCAACCTTCCCATTCGCTAGGAGAATCCAATAAGTTAACAACATTGGGTTCATGGTCGTCAAGGGGTACCAATGACGAACCCACTATGACGAATTCCCGTTCGCTCAGTCCAGTTCGCTCCTCGTTTGCTTTCACCTCCCATTTTGGGGGGGCCCAGTTGTGTAACGTTAGGCCTGTCAGGTGTGCAACGGCCCACAGGATGACTCGACCGTACGACCGGTCACTACGGTTGCTACAGTAGGGCCCGTGCGTAACGATTGGTTCATGTGAGCAACACCCGGACACTTTTGCGGCAGTCGGAGTGCGTTCATTCTTGCGGTGAAATCGCAAGAATCCAATGACCACATAGTATAGTTCATGGTGGATGACAAATCACCAATCATGAGCCAACGAAGCAAACGGCCGACACACGTCGATATTTCACCAAATGTTGACTCACTATATATAGGCCCCTAAATAGATAGAACAGTATAGATCTTCACTAACAATATTTTGACACCACGCCACGGTCTCTTTGGGGATCAGTCCTGTTGTGTCGGCTTTTCAGGCTCAATGGCGGTGTTCGATGCATCAAATTATGTATTAACAGACTATAATATAGAGATAACATATGTATATATATATATATACATCTAAAAATACATATACCTCACAATGTATTGCGCTCACTTCTGCAGCTTATTATATACTAAATACCATAATATATATATATACCTCACAATGTGCTGCGCTCACTTCCGCAGCTTCACGAGTTCAAGTCATCCGATGATATCTGCCACCAAATTTGCTCAGGACGCCAGTCGTCTTCGCTAGGCCAGTGGTAGTATCGCCCGCACACCCCTTGCAGGTGAGCGGACGACAGTCGGCTCCATAGCCACTACGCATGCTAGCATCCCTGGCTTTGGATTCATGACGAGCCACTCCCTGGCAACTTCCCCGCCCATGTCATCCCATTCAGAGGCCAGAAGCACTTGGCTATCCTGCATGACTGCACATATCAATCTGCTTTGCTGAGACAAGCTACATCTCCTAGAGACCGAAAAACATAGGCAGCAACTTCTGTAGGTCCATCTCTCTGCGGAACCTGCGAGATCAGTCTGTGCGAGTGCGTGTGTGTGTGTGTCTCCCCCTGTTCCAAAGGGTTCTCCTTCGCATGCGCAATTTCAAGAATGCAGGGGGCCACAGACCTGCCACTGCCGCTGTGGCCAACGAAGACCGGCAGTGGCAGGTGTAAAAACGTACCTGCGAAACTGTTGACAAGCTGTTCTCCTTTCGGTTTGCTTCTCATGGTGGTTCTCATGCTATTCCCCTAAACCTTTTCCTTGTTTGTCTGCTAGGAATTCAGAAAAGCCGCTAATGCATAGGCAGTCTGCTAGGTATTCAGTAAAGCCGCTAATGCATAGGCGGCCTGCTAGGTATTCAGTAAAGCGGCTAATGCATAGGCGGTCTGCTAGGTATTCAGTGAAGCGGCTAATGCGTAGGGACTGCAGACTTGCACCAAACAATTCTTCAAACACCTTGAAGTCTTCTGACCTTTCGCCTTTCGGTTCACTCATTCTTTTCCTTGGGAATCACTTAAAGGATGAACCATGTGACAAAGTGTGTTTCGCTCTGTCTTCCCACTGGGTACAGAGTGTGACCCCCGTCGCAGGGGCGCCGAGACCACCGTGAATCACATATTGGTTCAGTGTCTTGAGTTCGTGGATTATGGTTTGGTTTGTTTTGTTTCAACCATGAATCAACTCTGAACCATATGCCGCCGGGCTCACGCTTTAAATGCCACTGGGATCCACTGGGCTTACGGAGAATGAACCCCACCCCACCCCTCACCTCTTTCCTTCTTGCGCTTTCTTCGTTTTCTATGTGTTCTTTCAGGCTTGCTAGGTGGTTCTTGAGGCTCGTTCCCCTGCCCCTCGGGTTTCCAAGAGTGTAGGGGTCTGACCCCATAATTGGCCGTTCATTCGGCACTTTTGCTCGACAGATGTGCACGGCACTACACCTATCTTTCTCTCTTGCCCTCTTCTGTTTGCTCTTTCTGTCTTTCTTCTTTCTTCTAAGGCTTTTAGGTGGCTATTCAGGTCTTTCATTCACCTGCCGTTTACCTGCGCTGTGCTGCCGCGCTGCCGAGCCGCTGCGCGCTTACACGACCTCCACAGCATCCTCCCAGCGCCATGAAACTCGTCCTCTGTCTCCCAACCACTCAATTTACCAACGGCCGCGCAACCGACCGCCCTTCCTTCGAACCGGGGACATGTCAGTCTGACCGCTGTTACTCCGGTTCGATGGGGCAACAAAGAGCAACGGCCTAATTAAAACCTTTTTCCTTCCCCTTCCATACGCCAGGCTCTACACCCTACGTGCCCAGGCCTTTCACTGATTGATTTTCACACATCATCGCAGACCACCAACTTTTCCGGCCACAACTGCAGTCTACAACCCTTTTTCCTTCCACTTCCATACGCCCGGGTTTACACCCTACCGGATAACAGCGTGCAGGGGTGCCTGAATTTTAACTTTCCCTCACAGTCCGGCACCATCAGCCACACCTCAGGCATTTACACCAGCTTCCTTTCTCCCTCCTTTCTTTTTCCGCAACCTCACCCCAAACACATGGCGCCCTTCTTGCGCTTTATTCGTTTTCTAGGTGTTCTTTCAGGCTTGCTAGGTGGTTCTTGAGGCTCGTTTCCCTGCCCCTCGGGTTTCAAAGAGTTCTTTTTTTCGCACGCGCAAATTCAAGAGTGCAGGGGTCTGACCCCATAATTGGCCGTTCATTCGGCACTTTTGCTATAATTGGCCGTTCATTCGGCACTTTTGCTCGACAGATGTGCACGGCACTACACCTATCTTTCTCCCTTGCCCTCTTCTGTTTGCTCTTTCTGTCTTTCTTCTTTCTTCTAAGGCTTTTAGGTGGCTATTCAGGTCTTTCATTCACCTGCCGTTTACCTGCGCTGTGCTGCCGCGCTGCCGAGCCGCTGCGCGCTTACACGACCTCCACAGCATCCTCCCAGCGCCATGAAACTCGTCCTCTGTCTCCCAACCACTCAATTTACCAACGGCCGCGCAACCGACCGCCCTTCCTTCGAACCGGGGACATGTCAGTCTGACCGCTGTTACTCCGGTTCGATGGGGCAACAAAAAACAATGCTGATAATCAAATCCAACCAAACCAGCAGCCGTGCTACTGAATGGAGAAGTCATGCCTTTTAAGTCAAGTGCGCCGGAACAACGGCTGTCTGCGTGTGTCTCCCCCTGTTCCAAAGGGTTCTCTTTCGCATGCGCAATTTCAAGAATGCAGGGGGCCACAGACCTGCCACTGCCGCTGTGGCCAACGAAGACCGGCAGTGGCAGGTGTGAAAACGTACCTGCGAAACTGTTGACAAGCTGTTCTCCTTTCGGTTTGCTTCTCATGGTGGTGCTCATGCTATTCCCCTAAACCTTTTCCTTGTTTGTCTGCTAGGTATTCAGTAAAGCGGGCAATGCATAGGCGGTCTGCTAGGTCCTAGGTATTCAGTAAAGCGGCTAATGCATAGGGACTGCAGACTTGCACCAAACAATTCTTCAAACACCTTGAAGTCTTCTGACCTTTCGCCTTTCGGTTCACTCATTCTTTTCCTTGGGAATCACTTACTGGATGAACCATGTGACAAAGTGTGTGTGTGTGTGTGTGCTTGCTTCCGCGAGCCATTTCCATGCGTCCAATTCATTACCCAGGCGGCCCCTTTCTACGGCAACGATGGCACGCCTTCAAAACTGTGCCCCTCTCGATGATTCAACCTTCCCTTCGCTATTAGAAGGGAAACGAATCCTTTGAGACTGATTGTCCAGACTCATTCATGATCAGTTGTAGCTCAGAAGGTGTTGCAATAGAAACACAGCCATGTACTTTCCAGCGACACATCACTGGCTTGCGCAACACTGGCCGCCGCTATTTAGCCCTAAGAATGCTAATGTCATAGTGGTAGACAAACATGAGAGATAAACATCACTAAAGACTTGGAACTGAACAAGCAATGTTCATCAATATTCTGAAACATATCACATATATTGATGATTTCTTATATGACACCTAGGAATGATATGTCTTTTCATACACCGCTTTACATTTCAATATATACATAATATATATATATATATCAGTTTTGCTTTATGATTGATTTAATTGAAAATCTCCTTCAATCCTCAGATGTTCCAAAGCTCGAACACGGTCTTCACGGAATGTTCCAAAGCTCAGATGTCACCATTTTTCAGCTTTAGTATTATATAAGAATTATCTCCATCCATCCAGCATCTTCGGCAAACGAGGTCTTCGCCCCGATGTTGCTTTCCCATTGCAGACAGAGGTCTGGATCAACATTGGAAACCTGGTGAAACCGGTTTGATAACGTTGTAATAGAGATATTCCTTCCTAGGGTGATCAACCGATCAACCTCTGTAACAGACTTTGGATACACTTCCCTAGCAGGATGACCGACCTGCCTGACGACCATTCACCTCGCGAGTCCGATCCAAGTCTATGCATTGGGTCTATCCGAGTCTACCTGTAACAGTGGATGATGATGGTTAGTAGAGGCCTTGTCCAAAAGTAGTGATTTGCTTGTTTACTGACTGTTACAGGTAAGAACGGACAGACCCTATCTATGCAAGGCAAGGCTAGCGAGGTTAGTGTATCACGATCTCAGAAATCGAGACTCGACTGACCCCCACCTCACAAACACCTTCGCCCAAGCAATGTAAGCAATGTGTTCTAATTACATGGAAAGAAACCAAAAAAGAAAGCAGAGGCCGTTCCTCTGGATTTCCCACATTTCGCTTCTGTGCGTCTCTTCCAAAAGTTGCTTCATCTTCTTCTGCATGGCACGAGGCACCGCCTCAGCGTCTCTCTCGCGCCGTGGGGCCGCGACCACGCACGAAGCAGTGGCGGAGCGGCGGAGCAGATCAGGGGGTGGGCGATATAGCAGGGTATATAACGCTATATATGGGTATATATATACACACACGGATAAGATATATATATATATATTATACAATATATAGTTGAGATTGGATCTTTCCTCTGACATGTCACTCCCAAGGCCACCATCTCAAATTGTGCATGTCGAAAGAGGATGTCCTAATCACCCCAAATCAGGTCAAACATGGCCGAATCATTCCACGCATGATTTGGCCGGAAGACCACGGTGTCGCACTCGAGGACGGTTAAATGAAGGTCCTTTTTCCGGTGCCATAGTAGTACCATGTACCTTCCTCCAAATTATCGTACCATCTATACAAACCAGCACCTTCCAACAGGTCTCCGAAATGGAGGGTTGTTAGGCCCTAAGAGGTTTCAATTGGTGACCTGTGGCAGGTGCTGGTATAGAAGATATTCTTCCAAAACCCTCCCCAACGTGGACTGCGACGGTCTTCGCCCAACGTAGACTGTGAGTTTCATCCGAGACCAGGGAACTTTCGTCAAGTTGCGGTCGGAAGGGTGGGGATCCACCCCTTCAGTCACTCCATTCTGCTTGTGCTTCGACCCTCCCAGGGTTCTCTTCGTTCTCTTCGTTCACCGGAACTCTGCGGTCGCAGCCCCCCCGGTGTTCGACCCGCATCACTTCGACACACCGACGGGTCGTCTCGTCGAAACTCCGCGTCGGCGCGTCGGAACCGCCGAGGTGCCATGGCTGCCATGCAGGGCTTCTCGACCTCGAGAGCTTCGAGTCAAGACGTCGAGACGTCGCGGTGCGAGACGATGTCTCGTTGGGTCGTTGGGGGCGGACTTCGATGGTAGAATTAGATCAAGATAACCACAATAGAACCGTAGTTGAGCTGCACAAAAGCAAATCTTTGCACATCTTCCTTGATGTTTTCACCGGGGAACATGGCATGTTGGTTCCATCTCGATCCCGCAAAAACGCGGTATACCATCATCAATGGCACTGGAACCGTGGCTGCCCCAAGCGCCCGGTTGTTCTGTGAGCCAATGTCGCGCGCGCCGATTCGGCGCCTGGCGAAGGCGCCTGGCGAAGGCGTCAGGCGACTCGTCGCGACGAACGGAAGAAAGGCCGTGCGGTCAAAAGGAGGCGGTTCCTGCAGCTCAAGGTGGTTCCTGCCCAAACAGGTGTTGCTACAGGTGAAACGTTACTTAATTACAGGTGAAACGATTCCCTTTTGGAAGCTTCGGTCGCTACTAGTAGCTTCTTGTTCCTAGCTGTTTCGAAATGTTCGCAGGGAACAGAAGTTCGCCAGGGCAAACAGGATGGACATGGGTTGATGACACTTTGTGTGTGTCACTTCAATCAGCTGGCTTCCAGCACCAGTTCGCCAGTCACATATATTCCGTTCGCACTGATGTATGGTTACCATGTGAACCGGGCTTACATGTGAGATCCCCAAGCTGGGAATCTCGGATCTGAATGCTCTGGCTTCGATCATTTTCTGGAAGGATCTGCTAGACCAACTGGACCAACTGCCTGGTTCTTCAAAGTGACCGAACTTGATCCACTGGTTGGTTGGGTCATAAACAGGCCTGGTTGGTTCGGTCACAAACAGGGACTCCAAAAGGTCCCGAACTGAAGAAGCTGGTGGATGATTTGTCAAAAGGGATCGTTTCATGCTCTTCGATCATTTTCGGAAGGGATCTGCTACCCAACTGGATGATGGCTGTGGGACATCGCTATGATGGCTGTGGCTTCACTAGGCACCAGGAAGGGTCAACCGGTTGACCTACGCCGGTCGTTTTCACTCGTTCGTGCTGGACGACCGGACTGGGCGCGAGGTTCTGTGCAGCTCATGGCGAGGTCGACCCACGCGAGGTTCTGTGCACTACAGGCGAATGAGATGCGAAGGTGCGCCCACATGACAAGGCTCTGCCTACTGCCTGAGTCTCTACAGAGCTCCAACTGCCTTCGTTTCGCAAACCTTTGGAGTAGCTTTGGGACCCAGTGACTCCTGAGAGTCCTCTTCCCGACCTACGGAAGCTTTCGCGGTCGGTGGCCTCACTGCCATGAGCATCTTCTCTGGGGGCCAACCGCTGAAGACGCAGACCGGCCGGGCCTCAGGTGGAGCGGTGTCACATCGCTCCACTCGGAGTTGCCAGGTGTATAATGCAGACTCTTGAGGTGTATATAAACCCCCCGTATCAAGAGGACTTCCGATTCAAATGGAAAGGTTTATGGTCCTCAAGAGTCTACTATAGCACAAGTCTCCATTGATTCCAAAGATGGGTCCGGTCGGTATAAGCCTCTATATATGCCTCGATAGACCACAAAATACTGGTTCCACACATGTTTGCCGCTGGAAGTTCATCTTTCTCCAAACATCGCATGTTGGGCCAACCAGGCCAACCAGCTGTGTTTCCCATCTTATCTTGCCGTGACGCAGAAGCAACGGCACCCTTAGGACACACCCGACGTAGCTCCGAACGAATGCCGGTTCGAAGGGGGAACGAACATGGCGATAATCCCAGCTCCGAAATCGATCCCTGCAAACCACCAGCTAGAAAAGAGCTGCCTTTTCGATCTGCACTTTGGCCAGAGCTGCCAGGTTGATCGTTCTTTGTCTAGTGAACCTGATGTAAATGGCCAGGTGCCGGGTGGGGTGGGCTAAAAAATGAACTGTACAAATGAGGACTTTTTACACAGCAACATGGTGTATTGGAACACATGCAACCCTACAGTCCCAAGGGGCCTAATCTGTTTACACCTCTACCAGGATGCTTTAGGGCATTGTTTGTTTGGAGGATGACTATGACCAGCAGCGTTCGCTTTGTTCAGTTGTTTGGCACATGAGCCCAGAAGTCCCAGGTAGCTCCAGCGACGGTCACGGTGAGACCTACGACGTTGACCCATTTCAGCTCCCTCCAAGGAAGAACGACACGCAACAGGCTGAAGTTCCAAATTGAGATGTCTTTCCCCAGTCTGCCAGGTCCAAGTTGCAAAAGCCATCCAATACATTTTGATGCATGTGCTCACTAGTCTGACTCAATGGCTACAGGAGCAGCTCGCTCCCATGGTAGCACTCGAGCTATACAGAATTATCAGCATTCAGCACTTGAAGCCCACGCACCTTGGAGAGAGGCGGACAACACTCCGCGGAAGACGCTTAAATTCCGAACTGATCTGATGCAGCTTCTGGCAGGATTGCTACAAATGTGCAAGCAAGCACTTACCTTCACTGAAATAGCAAAGGAAACAACACAAGAAACAAACCCAAACACTCCATGTATATCCATGTATGGTATAAATGCCTGCATTGACCCTGAAACCACCCCAATGTAAATATGCCACACATGGAGTGTCTTGGACATGTAAAAAGAGTCGTCCATTCTCTTCAATTGTTGCACCAACCCGAAATCCCACGGCTGTTTTCTCACTGTTCTTCCTGGTGAAAATAAACGCATGTCTTTGTGCCATGCTTCTTTGCCCCTTTGAACAAAAGAGCCGAAAAACAAAAACAAAAAAACACATCGAGTGTTGTGCGGGATTCATCCCTTTAAACAGACCAGCAAGATTGCTGCTGCAACCTCTAGGTTGTGGAGGATGTTTGTACCAAGGAAGTTTGTGGAGGATTTTTGCGCAAAGTTTTGTGATTTCTTACTCCAACCCAGCCCTTTAAAAAGAACATTGCAAATTCAACTGCTGTTTGGTCAAAGCCCACTTTCTTCTTTGGCATTGTACCTACTCGACGTGATACATCCGCTGTCCTACTCGACGTAGACCTCGGCCCTTGGGGCTTGACATGGCTTGACAATCCCTGCGCTGCATTCAGACCAAACGGGCTGCGATCGAAGCCCTATTGGCTTTGACTCCTCCGCGTACTGCTCCCTCACACGTGCCGAAGAGAAGCGTGAGAAAGCTCCTCCTGTGTGGAGTTCAACGATTCTAAACTCCCATCTCAAGGAGATGCAGCCAAGCAGAGCCTGCCAAACATATGTCAAAACACCCTTTCATGTCCACTACATGCCTGAACCTTCCAACTATCAAACAGTTCTGGTCGTTTGGGTTTTATGGATTTTTATGGTCGTTTTGGTCGGTTTGTTTGTTTTGCGTGATTTTGTGGATTTGGGTGGTCATTCTGCTAGTCCGCTTTTTGAGTGCGTTCTGTGCGGCATTTTGCCGTATGCGCTGATGTGCGCTGCCCGTTTGCGCGAAAAACCGGGTCAATGACGAAAACTAGAGCTGTTTGGTCGTTGGATGCAGGTGGATGCCAAGCTACCAAATGCTTGTTTTCATTCATTGTTTCCGGATGGCGGTGAACATATTGGACTCCAATATCAAAAGCGGTAGACCGACGGACCGACGAGACCTTCACACCTTCAGGGCGGGCGGCCGAGTCCGTCGTCAGGACTTGGGGATCCATTCAAACCGTTCGGTACATCAAAAGGGTTCAGTGGATGATGAGATTGGAGGTCGACATCTCAAAATTCATCATATCTTCTACCGACTGGTACTATACCACACCCATCCACATAGTTTTGATGGAGCAAAGTATAGTAGCTTCTTCCTCCGGCACTTTGCTCGCTCCCGCGCAGAGTTGTGGCCAACCCCTGACGGGGTTGGAGAATCAGCGGATATTTCGCTGCTGGCCACAGAGGTGCAATTTTTTCACATGGAACGCCTGTTCTTCCATGGATCCAGTAAACTCCGTGCGTGATGGGAAATCATAGGACCAGGACGTTTTGGATCTGAAGAACAGCAAACACTTTTGAAACAGGTTGAAGAAAGGTGGGACAGCGGGACAAGTCCGCCGGCCCTTGGGCGCGGCGTGTTTTAGGTGATTGGTTTGTATGCTATCCTAGTAGTAGTTTTGTTTTAAGTCTAATTGTACCCACGGCGCGGATTTTTGACAAGTCTAACTTTCCCCCGCCTCCCCCCCCCCTCAGCCAAAAGGGCCGGCGGAACAATCCGCAGGGGTAAATATGAACTGTTGCGAATCGGAAGTTGCATTTTATCACACTTGCATTCTATGTCATCCAAGTGTTGCGATGTCCAGCGTGTGTCATGGGATATCACTCAGCTACCAAGGTGGGGATCCAAATCTGTACCTTTGAAACACTCCCAGTGGATCCCAGATACTGCTACATAAGGAACCAGGGTTTCGAGGTCTTTTAGTCGTTGAAACCATCACTGGTTACTTACTATTAGTAACTGGATCCAGTGAGCACTGCTTTCAAAAGCCATGGCCAGGCCTTCTGCTGTGCCAGACCTGTCGTCGTCCTTATCTTCAGTTGATTTGGAGCTTCCGGCGAAGTGTTTAGGCTCTTTTCAGCTCCACGTGGCACGTGGCCACGTGGCTCCAGTTTGGGTAGTATCCTATGGTATCCTGTACCGTGTCTGTTCATCTACCTTGCACCCCCAAACACGACCCATGGGACTGCCCAATTGGCCGATCAGTTGGGGTGAAGGAGGGTCAATGTAGGCATATCATATACATACAGTACAGTGTAATATACATATATATATATATTTATAATATATGCAATTTCTGTTCACGAACACCGTAGGAACTCGTCCCGGTTCTCTCCGGGCTCAAGGACCCCTTTTTCCCCCCACTCCAGTGTAGGAAAACGGAGGCCGCTGCCATGCACTTGCATGGTAGCGGAGCCTCACATCTAGCTCCGTTAGATAGGTGTGAGGTTTCCAAGCCAAAAGAGCAACGAAGCCTTAGATCCAGGGCATCCGAATCGGATTTCCTTTAGGGTGAGTTTTGTAGGGGTAGCCCCTGAGCCATGACCGTGACCAAAGGCAAGGACAACATCCCATCCTGGGACGGCAATCCAGCATCCTGGACCGAGTACAGGAAGGCCGCCTACCTGTACGAGGAAACGGTGAAATGGGAGAACCGCTATCTCTGCGGACCCCGTCTGGCAGCTGAACTCTCAGGGGCCGCGAAAGCGGCAATCAGCAACAAGAAGCGAGGCTGGCTGTCTCGAGAAGATGGAGTTGAAAAGCTCATGAAATGCTTGAAGGAAGCGATGTCAGAGCCAGCATTGCCAGAGATTGCCAACCAGCTCAGGGCCTACTTCAAGGTCCTCAGACGTCGTCGAGGAGAGTCCATGGCAGCTTTCTGTGTGCGGCATCGTGAAGAATACGCTCGCACCTGCAAAGCCTTGACAAGAGTCATGAAGGAACAACGCCAACTTGGCCAACAAGGACCACAAGCCTGGCACTCTGGACGACGGAACTCCCAAGGGTCAATGGAGCCCATTCCAGAGCGTGCGCCTGCTCGGTCATCACGAACCGGGGGGTCCAGTGATCGAGCAGCAAACACGGCCTCCGAATCAGACGGACTCACTACCACAGAGACCGTCGAGAACCCAGCCGAAGAGGACGACCCCACTTGGGAGGAAGACGAAACTTGGTGGTGGTGGTACGCCAACTGGTGGCAGACGGAGGCGTGGAACGCCGCCTATAGTTGGGAGCCACCACGAAACGAAGAGGACAGCACAGCAGCCACGGCCGAGGAAGAAGATGACGAAGAAGACTTCATCGAGATATTGCCAGATGTGATCAAAGGATGGCTGCTGCTAGAGAAATCCAACATCGACCACATGGAAAGAAGCCTGATCCAAAGTGAAGTTAACAACTTCTCCCTCCAGTCAGTCGAGAACGCACTGAGGAGCCACTTCACGGATGACCAGATCCGGAAGAGAGATGGGGGCGAAACTCGGCATGATCTCTTTGAGGCCGAAGATGATGGTCTCGAAGATGAGCCGCCTGGGGAAGCCGACAACTTCGTACTGGAAGACCTGCCCGAAGAGACACAAGCCTTCTACCAGCAAGCCCGAGCCGATGAAGAGGCCGCATGGATGCAGATCCAGCAGGGACGTCAGACTCTGCGAGAGGCCCGGGCCAAACAACATGATGTGCGGATGGGGCGCAAGTTCTTCGATAGTCGGAGGAAACCCAACTTCCGCATGGGAGAAAGGCATGGCCTCGGCAAGGGCAACGGCAAGAACAAAGGAGGAGGGCCCTGCGCTCGCTGCGGAAAGGCTCACGACACTCGCTCCTGTCCACAGAAGTCAGACACACGAGAGACCGAGTCCAAGTCCTACG